TTCCTTGGCCCGCGCCTGCTTTTGCGGTCGTTTTCATAATTTCCACGAAGTTTCACGAGTTTTCAACAACTGTTTTTTGGTTCTTATTTGTTTTGTTTTTTATCAACGGATTTTGTCTTTGTTGATGCATGTTTTGTTTTTGTGATCCTCCAAATTCCCATATAGGTTTTCATTAGCTCTGACTCACGTTTTTTGGCTCCCCGGAGTGGCTCCGTTCTACGAGTATTTTGTCTTTTATCCTTATTAGTTTTTCATCCTCATATGTTTTGTTGATCCTCACTTGTTTTTTTGAGCCTCCAATCCCCTATGTGTGAAGCACGGCTGCTGAACCCGAGATGCCCTGTTGCAGAGATGAGGTACGCATTCTCACGCTGCTTTTGGATGCGGCAGCAGCGGATCTTTTTGCCCTGGTGGACAGAGGGCTGCTCTGTTTTCAGCTCGCGCCATTATACCAAGAAACAACAACTGCGACGCCTTCCAAATTCAGAAGCCTGCTCCAGGACAGATTTGTCAAGGCATGTTGCCAAATCGTGTCTGATGCCACGCTGACGACGTGCCTTGACTGATAGCTCTTCATTGAACCAACTGCTCGTACAAGTAGATCAAGCAGCTTCTGTTCGTCGTCAACCTGAAGACACAACCAACGCGTGAAGCCTGACCACGAAGGCGCCTACTACTGGCGCTTGTAGACATGGCAGCGGCCTCAGGTAACACACGAGGTTACTCGTGCTTGTTAGCCGAGAATTGTTAAGGCGTCAGTTTCTCATATGCTTGCAAAAGGGGCACTAGGTCAAGAGTTTCTCCTCCTGGCACTGCGAAGCTCACCATGCGAGAGCAACGTGTGGGGTAACCTGTAGAGAAAGACGAGGGCTTGAGAGGACTCAACGCAAGCAGGAGGGAAGGCGAGCCCGGCGATCAAGATTGCAAAGGGATCGACGTTCTCAGAGCCACAACTTGGACGGCGAATCTGTCATGCACACGATGCAGATTTTGTGTGAAGCCCGCACAGGACTGTTGACTTGGAAATGTTTCTGTCTCTAACTATTTGCGCCAGCGATGAAGGCATACTTTTCAGCCTGCATGGCATTTGAGGAAGAGGCAGGCTGGAGCAATCCATTCTCACGAGCAGTTGGTCTTCGCAGTTGGTCTTCGCAGTTTCTGCTAGCTGGATTTTTGAGATGTTAGGGTTTTGATTCTGGGGAAAACAGACAAGATTGCGACGGGAACGTTGCGAGAAACGAAATCCTTCCAAACCAGGCAAGGAAAAGCAGGCGGCACCCGGTCATGTCTGTTCACATGTCAGAGCTGGCCTGAAGCTATTGCTACAGCACAGAATTTGTGGGCGCCTCGCGTGTTTACCGTGCAATCCAGCGCTCAGCCAATCGAGCTTGCTAAAAAGGGGACCATGCACACGTCTCGCTTACTCACATGCAAGCTGCTACATGATACTAATGTAAGTTGATATAACCTGTTAAACTCCCCCACAAGTCCTTTTGTCAAGGCTGTTTCTATCCAGGGCAGTTCATATGAGATGGAGATGCAAACGGACCAGCATGATGGACGTGCATTCAAACAATGTCTGGCAACAGACACTGCACGTGGTTAACTCACTTTATGACCTCCGTAGACGTTCATCAATCCCTTTTCATCCCTGACCACTCTGGCCGCAGAACCAAGGTGAAAACTCCCAGCAAACCTCGTACCTGGTTCGGAAGCGTTGCCCGGCTAACATTCGCTTCGAGGTGTGGGTTGCCAAGCAGGGCGCGTAAACATGAGCTCCGAGGTCACAGAGGCATCGAATTTGAGGCCCATTTGGCACTGCATGCCACTCGAAACGTGCAGAGCTGACAGTCATCCCCTGCATTTGCCTAGCTCGTGTTGTTGTGCAGGAGAAAGCTGCGGAGCAGTTTCATCAGGCCATGAGAAGGGGTTTGGGACGCCCATCGAAATAATTCGAAATACTGACTATGTTCAAGTGATTGCAGAAGTATTCAGAAGTTGGTCTGCTGTGAGGAGCAAGATGCCAAGTCAAGTTGCTATTGCAGCAAAGGCTGGAACAATTTACAACACCACGCAAAATTCTACTGTTCTCCGCAAGTGCAAGCTGCAGGAGAAGCTGGAAAGCTTGCTGCAGGATTCGCAAAACTCCAGTGAAGTCTCGTTCCCTGGCAGCATGTTGAGCTTCTTTCAAGAGAGGGGTCCCGCAGCGGTCCGGTCCTCAGCACTTCTCCGCCGGCTGTGTAGATTAGCAGGAAGTTTATTTGCACAGCCAGTTTTGCTTGTGCTCTGTCGCCTCGCGATCCCATCTTGAAACATGGCAGAGTCTTACCAGGGATTCTGGGCTTGTGTATGCAGTATGGTCGAGAGGATTTTTCTTTCGACGTGTATATACGAATCAGATCTGTCATGTGAACATGCCCATATTTGCATGATTTTGTGTGCTTCCTTTTTGGGTGTTGCTGGTGCTTGTATTTTTCTGTCATTGGATTCCAGCAATCAGCTTTCCAACGCTGGAAGCAAGCATTGCTCAGAACTAGGGACACAAGAAATGTCGAAACCCATGACGATTTCTATGTACTCGTGTCTACTCATCTTCTTAGGCAGGTTGTTTTCGTGTCGCAGAAAACCATGCATGCACCTCGCAATACACAATTCCGGCTTTGCGGAACTCGAAGCACATCAAAGCATTCCAAGCAGTTTTAAAGAAGGCAGGACTTTGCAAACAAGCCCGACAAAATCAACGAGAATTCAAAGATCGGCAAAACCCCAAGAAATTCAAATGCAATCCCGCCAGACATCCAATCAATTCCCAACATCCCAAACATTATTGTGGATTGTGGTTTTCACGCCTCCCGCTCTCTCTGGCTCGCTCTCTCTCTCTCTCTCTCTCTGATTGAACTGTTACAGGAATGAGAAACGTGGTTTTTACAAACGTGGTAGCTTTGAGCATTTCCACAGCCTCGTGGCTTTTGCATCGCACCTCGAAAAGCTTTTCTAGTGATGGTTGGGAATGCCAGGCGGAGTCCTAGCTGTTCTTTCCGCAGTCCTTTTTCTGAGGCTGGCTCGCGTCGGTGTCCCCCTGAGCAAAGCTCTGGCAAAAAGAGCCAGGCAGGTCATCGCAGCCTGGATGATGTCAAGCACCATGCACCATCCTTCTAAAGCCTCCGTCTTCTAGCCAAGCTAAGGCAGCAGGTGCATTCTACGACGCTGTTGAAGAGTTTGTCTATGAGGCATGCTTTGCGTTCAGCATGCGTCAAGCTCCTAGTCGTGAGTTCTAATCTCTGTGTCGTGTATGCGCCCAACGGTCCTGAACAGGTTTATGGCACATCCTCTGCGTTGGACGATGAAATGTCAGACCTGAGGCTAGCAGATCTAGCAGTGCCAATGCCAAGATGCTTCATTCCGCTTATGTGCTCCTTTCTGCAGAGCTGCAGCACCTGAGAACAGGACTTGGGCACCACCCAGTCACCAGTCCTCAGTCATAGAGTTGTGAACCCCTCAAGACCTGCAACAAAGCAGCATCGTTTCTGTTTCACGCTTGTGGTCCATGTCCACAGGTCGGCATACGAAGACCTTGATGCCAACGGCTGTGATGATGGAGCGGGTTATGGCAGGCGCATTGGCATCATGCCATACAGATTCGAGTGATGGGGTTGACACGTCACTGTGCTTCTGAACTGGTTCCTGCTTTCCAGGAAGCGAGCATCCGGCATGTTGCATGCTTTGGGCAACATGCGTAGCTTGACTGGCCATTGGTGATGGCAAGCATGTATGGTGCTCCCAGACCTGGGCAGTTTCGAGCCAAGGACAATCAATATTGACAAGCTGCTTGATGCCTCAGGGCAGGCCAAGCCTGCCAATAAGCTGTCTTGCAGCTCAAGTCTTGCTGAAGTGTATCAGCGTAGCATGCAGTGTGGCAGGAGAAGAAGCTTTCGGAGAGCATCGGAGTGAGGGCCAGTCCCTGGCCACAGTCCATCTGCAGGTGGAAGATTTTAACAGTAGGTTGCAGTGTTGCAGGGAAGAGCCTGCGTGATTGTAAGATGGCCTTGTCACCACTCCGGAAATTCCTGTGTCAGCCGTGCCAGCTGAATTCGCTCATTTTCTCCAGAACCGACTGGAGCTCATTTTGCATGATGCAAGCTCTACATCGACTTGGGATGGTTTTGCGTTGCGGAGGCCAATGAATTTGGGCATGTAGCATCTGTCTTTCCAAGTTCGCAAAGCCATTCCAGCATCACTTCAGCAAGCGACATGTACGAAGCTGAATCAGGTGAGCGCATTTCTTCATTCACCAGCATCACAAATTTGGGCTGATGGAGCTTTGAGCCATACGGCTGCTTCCTTCAGAGGTGCGAAATAGCATTCTCCACTGTCCGGTATCAAGGATTTTGGCATCTGCGGGCTTCGCATCCTCGAAGGTTATGACAGTAGGCAGCTAAACACGCCCAGTTAACTTACCTGCATGCAAGTCGTGCCGAGAAGGAAAGATGCGGCAACACACAGAGCAGTGTGCACAGAAAAAAACATTTTGAGATTGACGGCCTGTTTGGCTGTCAATTGTTTTGCTTGTTGCCAACTACTTCCTCGGCATGCTCTGTGAGTAAAAAGTTTTGCACTCTTGGCTTTTTTGGCACGTGGAGAGCGGCGAAGCCGCCAGCTTTGCAAATGCCCAAGCTCCATACAGCCAGAGCATGCCAGAGTTACTGATCCTCCGGGATGTTTATGCATTGGGTGCTGCAAGCGCCTGCAGAAGATATTCCTGTCGAATGGGTCATGCAGATACTGGGTCTTAGCAGTCTGTTTGATGCAGCCTGAACCACAGGCGCATCAGGGACACCCCACGCTGAGATGCGTCCAGAAAATGTACGTACATGTTGGTGGCCAATGTGGCCCCCATCTCTGCAGCTAGAGTCTATAGGGGGACTCAGCAGAAGGGAGCGCAAGCTTGGGTAGGTTTTAAGCAACTTGTTCCAAGGACACCGCGGACACGATTGAGCGGTGGTTCAAGGCACCAGTCATATGGAGTCATATGAGCTGAAGGCTACCACGAGGTGCAGGCTTGCTACCCAAACTTTGCAGGTGCAGCAAATGTGGACATCTTTGGAGAGCGTTTTCACAGGCACATGATGCATGCCCTGCAAGTGTAGAGAGCAGAATGAATGCTTGATCTTGTGTGCACCGGCACGAGAGTGTTGCGTAAGCAGCTGCAGGTGGAGACATTGCAAAGCAGATGCCTATGGAGGCAAAAAAGTTTCTACAGATCGACAAGGACCCTTCTGTCTCATCCGAAATTTGATAGAGGATCACAGTTCAGAAATTCTTGCGAGGATTGGCTGAAGATCATGCACAAGTCAGCAGAGACCATGAATGTGGTGGAGCAGCTCGGCATTTTTTAGAGCATCGACCCTCGTTGCACGATCTGCTTACATAATGCTTGGAGGGTCCTGCTTGGTCCTTGCATCTGCCAAGTTGCTGTCAAAACGAGCTCCTTCGCCAGATGATGCCAGCGCATGCCCCAGCGAACATTGCTAAGGCACGCTGCGGTTTGAGTCAGAGTCCTGCGCTGCAAGGTGCTGTTGACTGGCCTGGAAACATGCCAGAAGCTTCCTGCTTAGATGCTGGCAGCCCACTGCCTAATAATGTAAAATTGAGGGCGAGATCTATACTTACAAATAGCTTCTTTTTTTGTTTGGAACACATGAAAGATGATTTTGGAGGGCCATCTGTTTTGCATTTTATTCAAGTCACCGGATGGGTTTCAAAGCCATCCATTTTACATTTTTTTACTCATTTTATAAAGCTTACGGGATGAATCAAAGCCCGCCGTTTTACGTTTCTTACTACGTCAAGAAAGTATCAAAAACAATCAAAGAGAGTTTGTGTTCAGGACTGTAGCGTTTAGGGTTTAGGCTTCTGGGGTTTGGGGATTCTACGGTGATCTAGGGTGTTTAGGGTTTAGGATTCTAGCGTTTAGGGTTTAGGATTCTAGGGTTTAGGGTTTAGAATATTAGTGTTTAGAACCGCCAAAATCCTAGACCCCAAGCCCTGGAACCTAAACACTGAAAACAGAATCCTAAATATCAAGGTCCTCTGACCATGCAAGATCATATTGTGTTACCCCGGTGCCGGGGGAAATGTGAATGGCTTAAGGCTGTAGGATTCTGGAAGTTAAGGTTTAGGATTCTAGAGCTAGGGTTTAGGATTCTAGCATTTAGGGTTTTTGATTCAATTTGTAGAGTTTAGGATTCCAGGTTTTTGGATTTAGGATTTAGGTCTAGGATCGTAGGGTTTAAAGGGTTCTAGGGTTTCAGGGGGTTTGGATTCTAGGGTGTGCAATTTAGGATTCTGGGGTTTAGGGTTTTGGGATTCTAGGGTGTAGAGTTTAGGGTTCTAGGGCTCTGGGGATTTCAAGGTAGGGCGTTTAGGATTCTGGGGTTTAGGTTTAGGATAATAGATTCTATGCACGCTCATTCAAGTTGTGTGTGTAGCTAGAAGGCTGAGCATGGTAGCTGTCGCATGGTTTTGCGGATGTTTTGCTGAGAGAAAAGAAGTCTGAGAGAGCTTGCTGAGAGACTGAGACCAGGATATGTGTGCCAACCTCTGTACCAAAGAGCTAATGTATTACTACATGCATGACTGTTCCTAACACATCAGAAGAAAGATCCGTCAAATCCAACTTCGAGAATCAGCAAGGGGATGCCCCACACCTGAAGAGTGGGCATCTAACAAAGAGGCTCTTCAGAGTGTGCTGATATCAGGAGAGGACGCTCTCTTGACGTACCTGCGATGGCCGCCCGAATTACCCTTAAAGTTGTTGCTTCTCATATTGGCCAGAAATAAATCAAAAAAGAGACAGACATGAATTGTAGCCGCAAGCCTTTGGACCTCATGGTCCGCTCAAGTGTGTGTGTGTGTGTGTGTGTGTGTGTGTGGACCACCCTAGGACATGGGTGTCGGGGGTCACTCCCACTTCGTTGAATACCGTTGCTCCTGCATCCTAAACCCATTTCACACCATTGCAATCAAAATTTTCGCACCAGTACGTTTCAAATTTTCTCACCAGTACGTTCAGAGCGGCGAGCTTTTGGTCGCATGCAGGGGGCACAGGTGCAATCAGCAACTACTGTGCCAACGAAGACGGTTGCTGTTTGCAGTGTAAACGTACCTGCAGAGTTGCTCTTGGGTCACGGTCCTTAGGGACAAAGTGGCAGCTGGAGGACTCACATCAGTGCTTGCGTCGTGTGCAATCAGTGCTTGCGTTGTGTGCAATCAGCGCATGAGTGAGGGCATGTTGAAAAGTAGCTCCAACAGTGGTGGTGATGTG